GACTCTTGACTCACCTATGTTTGGCTTACCTATGTTTACTTAGCTGCTCAGGATGAGCCATTGGCCCACCCATGCACTCACTCTCTTGGTTGTCTAGGTTGGGAGCAGGACCGCACTCCCACTTGGGATTATTGGAGAATTGTGGATTGGAGGCTAAGACCTCGGGATCGTCAAGGTCCTGTAACTGTCTCCTTGCGGTGACAACTCTCCCTTTGACCTAGCTTAGAGAAGGGGACATTGACCTTACACTTACATTTGATGCACATATGACACACCTCTCAAGATATTATACCTACAGCTGTAGCTCCTATGATGCAACCTTCCCAAGTACCTGAATCATAGGACACAACTAATAGGGCTGATATCCCCCTTCTGTTGAGTCGGGGAGAACTCGCCACCTGTCTTCAGATTGCTTGGACTCCAATACTCCTAGAGTCTATATAATGGCATCATAAGTACATCCATAATAACACAACAAGAGCAACAAGAATCACATAACATCACTGCAGGAAATTCAGCTTTTAGCGACGTTTAAAAAACGCCGCTATAAGTGTCAAAAACGCTGCAAATTCTTTTTGCGACGCTTAGCATCAAGCGCCGAGGACGCGGCCGTCGCTATAACTTTATGACGTTTTTAAAACGTCGTTATATTGGTATAGGCGGCATTTTTAAAAACGCCGCTAAATGTCTTACTTGACAATACCATGACATCATTATGATATTTAGCGACATTTTTTAAACACCGTCATATCTTTTAAAAAATCTAACTGTTAATATTTTGGGTTTAAGTGGCGTTTTTAAAAAAACGCCGTGATATCTCCTTTTTTTTTTTTTTAAATTGTGCTAATTTATGTGATTAAACTAAAAAAATACATATAATAAAAATGAATAACACTAATATGAAATAATAACTTACATTCAAATAGCAAATGCATCATTAATTCACTTTCCCATTCACCAATCACCATTACCCACAAAATAACATATCCACAAATGATATTTTAATATTATCCCCAAAATAACATATCCAAAAATTATATTCACAATTCTCAACCAAAAAATTAATTACTATTTTGTATACAAAGTCACAAAATAATATTACTCTTTTCTCTCTCTCATCACATGGCCTCCAAGGACAACATTATTAGAGATGAACGCCTATTTTCCCTTTACCATCAAACATTATTCCATATGAAGGCAGAAAACCTATGAATAAGACATTACTATGTTAGTATGTGCATGTAACATTTTCCGATATAAGTAGCCAATTCCTCACAAGAATTAATGGCTTGACAGTGACTGCACAGACAAGAAGAAAAGAAGGAAAACTAAATGTTCAACATAATACACTTTGTTAAGGATAAGGAACCCACTAGTGCAAGTGCATCAGCACCATCTTCTCATGCATCAGCATCAGATGCAATCACAGCTCTCAATGGATGCTCAACTGTTTCCGTAACCACTGGAAAGTAGTTAGAAGTCATTAGGAGTAGTTAGACTTTCAGTTACATATTTTTCAGTTACATAGCTCTTGTATAAATATACTCTGTAATTCAGATATTTTCTTTAATGAGAATTGTGATCAAACTTTCATCAAAATATATAAAAAAAACTTGTAAAATATATCAGCAATGTTAAGGATCCTTCAAAAAACTACCATTGCTCCTACCTTATTATATATGAGAAGGTAATTTTTGATAAAAATTGGGTCGAGCTATGAGATGGGCTTTGTGGCCCAAAGTGCCAAAGACTTGGTGAAAAGGCCGCAATGTTACTCCGGCCCAGGGAAGGCCGCAATAAATAAATAAATAAATAAATAAATAAATAAATAAATAAATAAATAAATAAATAAATAAATAAATAAATAAATAAATAAATAAATAAATAAATAAATAAATAAATAAATAAATAAATAAATAAATAAATAAATAAATAAATAAATAAATAAATAAATAAATAAATAAATAAATAAATAAATAAATAAATAAATAAATAAATAAATAAATAAATAAATAAATAAATAAATAAATAAATAAATAAATAAATAAATAAATAAATAAATAAATAAATAAATAAATAAATAAATAAATAAATAAATAAATAAATAAATAAATAAATAAATAAATAAATAAATAAATAAATAAATAAATAAATAAATAAATAAATAAATAAATAAATAAATAAATAAATAAATAAATAAATAAATAAATAAATAAATAAATAAATAAATAAATAAATAAATAAATAAATAAATAAATAAATAAATAAATAAATAAATAAATAAATAAATAAATAAATAAATAAATAAATAAATAAATAAATAAATAAATAAATAAATAAATAAATAAATAAATAAATAAATAAATAAATAAATAAATAAATAAATAAATAAATAAATAAATAAATAAATAAATAAATAAATAAATAAATAAATAAATAAATAAATAAATAAATAAATAAATAAATAAATAAATAAATAAATAAATAAATAAATAAATAAATAAATAAATAAATAAATAAATAAATAAATAAATAAATAAATAAATAAATAAATAAATAAATAAATAAATAAATAAATAAATAAATAAATAAATAAATAAATAAATAAATAAATAAATAAATAAATAAATAAATAAATAAATAAAAAATAAACATAAATCAAGAGAAGTGGATTTTGCATTCACAATATTTTTTTGAAGATCAAAGAATCACTTAGAGAATTAATAAAGTCACCCAAACAAAACCCTAATTTTTTTTCTCCTTTTCTCTTCTCTCTCCCGCCACTCTCTCTCTATCTTGTCTCTCTTTCTTGATCTCAATCAATCTCACTCTCTCTCTTTCTCACGGCTGTTGCTTTTCTCATTCTTTTCTTCTTCTTTTTTTGGCTAATTTCCTAATACTATTCTAACCTAATTGATATATTATATAATATTACTAGTGTATACCCGTGCTTGAAGGCATGGTGTAAATAATGTTAAGATTAGAATATAATTGTAATCCCAATACTAATAATGTTAGGATTAGAATATAATTGTAATCCCAATACTAATAATGTTAGGATTAGAATATAATTGTAATCCCAATACTAATAATGTTAGGATTAGAATATAATTGTAATCCCAATACTAATAATGTTAGGATTAGAATATAATTGTAATCCCAATACTAATAATGTTAGGATTAGAATATAATTGTAATCCCAATACTAATAATGTTAGGATTAGAATATAATTGTAATCCCAATACTAATAATGTTAGGATTAGAATATAATTGTAATCCCAATACTAATAATGTTAGGATTAGAATATAATTGTAATCCCAATACTAATAATGTTAGGATTAGAATATAATTGTAATCCCAATACTAATAATGTTAGGATTAGAATATAATTGTAATCCCAATACTAATAATGTTAGGATTAGAATATAATTGTAATCCCAATACTAATAATGTTAGGATTAGAATATAATTGTAATCCCAATACTAATAATGTTAGGATTAGAATATAATTGTAATCCCAATACTAATAATGTTAGGATTAGAATATAATTGTAATCCCAATACTAATAATGTTAGGATTAGAATATAATTGTAATCCCAATACTAATAATGTTAGGATTAGAATATAATTGTAATCCCAATACTAATAATGTTAGGATTAGAATATAATTGTAATCCCAATACTAATAATGTTAGGATTAGAATATAATTGTAATCCCAATACTAATAATGTTAGGATTAGAATATAATTGTAATCCCAATACTAATAATGTTAGGATTAGAATATAATTGTAATCCCAATACTAATAATGTTAGGATTAGAATATAATTGTAATCCCAATACTAATAATGTTAGGATTAGAATATAATTGTAATCCCAATACTAATAATGTTAGGATTAGAATATAATTGTAATCCCAATACTATTTAATAAATTATCAATTATCAATTTAATATAATTGTAATCCCAACCCTTCTTGTCTTAAAAATAAATTATCAATTATAGAGATGAAATTATGCCTTCAACCTGAAAATCCCTGTTTCTATACCAAGAAAATGGCATAGACAAACAACCATTGTTGAGCTTTGGTGACCCACCATGAAACAAACTCAAAAACATCTATCTAAGTTCACAGAATTGAGCGCACTGGACCCATAATGAATTGGCATTTGCCTTCCTTTCCCATAATCAGCCTTGTTCCCAAAACATTGGTTGGCAAATTCTTGCAAGGTGAAACCACACCACAACAGAACACCATGTTCCCTATACTGCATTGCATTATACATGTCTGTTTACATCATTCTCTATCGTGGACTTCCTAATATATCCAACCAATTATTGAAAACCTATCCATCACATGGAGGGGTCTAAAAGAAAATATGAAAAGCTGAAATCAAAATAATTTCATGGTCTTCAAAACTGACACATTTCTGGGGTTTGGGCTGGAGTTTTATCTTCTATGGATATGAAGTTGGCTTCAAATCATTCTATTTATGAGAGTTGAAGATGAATGACTGAAGCATTGAAATTAAGATCAAGCCGCATAAGCTGACAAAGAACAGAAATACATATGGTTAGAGATTTTGAAAACATAGGTAGTGGAGCAATGGAACTACAGTAGCAAGTCAGCAACCTGAAGGTGGTAAAATGAGGAAAGGAATTTGTGAGCAATATATACAATAGTGTTGTTGTTCATGGTATGCATGACTCTATATCATATGGCTCCTAACAGATTGAAATCTGTTGCTAATATTGCATAGTATATTGTGACACTAATTAATTGGTTGAGAAGAAAGAAATAAGTACATATGAAAATTGATCTCTAATTCATCTAGTTTCTTACCTGAGGCAAGATAATGTCGTCTTGGATGAGTGCAACAGCTGATGCAATGTTGATAGCATCTTCTCCATATGAGGTGAGATAGAAGGACATTCTTCCTTGCCTTTGTGCTTTGTAGAAGATGTTGTTCATAGTTTGAAGGGTAACCATACTACTGTACATCTTCAATGCATCATCCTTGCTCACCTAATGAATGTGATAGCTGAAAAATTAACAAAAGACAATGTGCTTGCATGCAATCTAAATAATCAAATTAACTAAAGCTGAATTGTATAATTCTAAAATTTTCAGCTCTTAAAGTTGTGTTTGGATCTTGTATTTGTAGAGGGATTTATGGAGGGAAAGTGAAGGGATTTGTGGGGGTTAAAAAAGATAGCTTAAATCAGTTTTTCCCTTCCCTTTCCTTTTCCCACCACAAATCTGAAATCCAAAAACAGCCTAAAGAGAAACTTATAAAATATTGCAAACTTGGATTATAGACTGGGTTTCATCAGGTTTTAAGTTATTTCAGGAAAGTAAAATGTACACAATGGCTAGAAAATCATGAAAAATACAACATATATTATGCATAGTTCTAACAATATGGAGTTGGCAAAAAAATAAGATATATTGTGCATAGTTCCACATATATTGTTCTAGATACAGAACACAGACCCATATTTTTATGTAAATATTTTATGTAAAATAATATATATTTCCACATATATTGTGTATCGCAAAAAAATAACAGAACACAGACCTGGAAGAATGATATTGGTAGTTGGATGATTCCCATTATCCAAAAGCAAGTTAAAAAATTATTGGGATGATTCCCATTTCCTCACAAAATCAAACCGAAAATAAAAATATGAGAGAAGATACCATCAACTGGATTCGTTGTGTGTAAATTCCATTGAAACATTTTATCAAACACTTAATAAGTAAGGAATATAGAATGGTTATCGAACATTTTGGTAACAACCATTCAATAGAGTAACTCAAAAACCACTCTTCCTTATTATATGTGTGTATAAAAGTGCACCCAAAATTAAAGTGAACCCAAAATTAACAAAACCCATAAAAGGGCACCCAAAATTAAAGAAAAACAATACTCACAGAAAAAAAAAACAAAGAAAAAATCAGTAAAAGATAACACAAAGAAAAACCTGAACAACAATAGTATACTATTGTTGTCATTTGGTTAATGTTGAAGAACCCTAACTAAACCTTTTCTTCTTACCAAGCTCAACTTAAGTATGAGAATCCAAAGTAATAAAACTCTAACCAATATCCATGGCATGAATCAAAACAAATACTTGCATCTTGCAGCTGGCATTTGATTAATATATATATATACACACATATAAGAAAATAAATAAATAAATAAATCTCCAAGAATTTTAATTTTTGTGCTTTTTGGAAAAATTGCAATAAAATGGAAAAAATCGAAACAATTGCAAGATTAAATAAATGCTATTTGAAGATTAATAATTGAAGATTAATAAAAATAATTGAAATGTAAATGCAATTTGAAGATTAATTTTAAAAACATAGTAAAATTACATTTTTACCGGCCACCCCTCACCCATCCTTCCTAGTTGCTGGCCACTCCTCCACCCTTCCCGACCCCCTCCCTCAACCCTTGTTTCCCAGACACCCCCCAACCCTTCGCCCCTCCCCATCCTAGTAGCTGGGAAGGGGAAGGGGGGAGGAAGAAAGAGAACAGGGCAAAAGTTAGGGGAAAATTGTAAAATTTTTAAGATTAATTTTTAAGTTTCCACCTTTATTGCAATTATTTTTTATACTCAATATTTTTGCAATTATTCTACCTCATCCCATGTTTTTGTAGTTTAGCCTTTCTATTTTTTAGGGTTGGGGATAATTGTTTTGCAGCTCTGTTTCACTACACTTAATGCCAAGTAAAAACTGCACTTGAGTCAGCCAGATGCTGGCGGCTCTTCAAATTCACTACAGCAATCAAAAGGAAACAGTAGATACATACAAAAGCAGCTGTTTCATCTTAAAATTTTGGAGGAGAAGTGCAAAAAAGTGAAAGAGGAGAAAGTGGGGGGAGGAGGGATGAACATACAAATTGCAATACACACAAAGAAAACATTACCCATTATATATACACACAAAGAAAACATTACCCATAAAAGTGCAACCAACTGCACTTGATCTCTTGGCTTCAAACAAAAAAAAAATCTGTAATCAATATATATACACACAAAGAAAACCTTACAAAAAATCGGTTTCATGAGGAATGAACAAAAAGATTTGCTGGCACTTTAAGCAAATAGCTAATCACAAATACAGAGTACTTTGAGCCCTCCAAGTTCAACAAAAGAAAATGAGTTCACTAACTGAGAGTCTAAGCCTTCTACTTTGCTGGCAACAAATATAGGTTTTTTGAATTCATATGTATTTATGAAGTTTATCTTTCTATCATTATTTTCTCTCCTACCAAACAGAGAATCGCATAGCAAGAGCAGATATCTAGTAAAAAAAATCTTTCTTGATAAAATAAAAACAAACCAGAGAATAATAGAAAATACCCATAAACTAAATGATAGTTAAAACGCCAAAAATCATCAAATTTGGGCCAAAATGAATTATATATATATATATATATTTAAAAAAAAATCTATATATACATCAATCAATACACATGTAAAACTGAATCAAACTAACCTTCAATTTATGAATTTCTTCTACAGGTATGCAAAAAGAGACGAATAAAAAAACAAAGGAATTAGAGAAAAATTAACCTTGAATTGAACTTTTGGAATCGATTTAGTCAAACTTTGAACTGAGCTTCTGGAATCGATGCGAATCAAAGCCCTAGAAGGAAGAGAACTAACCTTAAATAAACACATTTTTAGGGTCGCTTTCATGTATCGATGTATCATTTCATATGAGAAGCAATAGATCAAAAGAATAGACAGGTAAAATACTAACCATCTGGTTTGTTGATTCCCATTCCAAATGCTACCTGTAGAAGAAGTATATGTTTCAAAATGATAGGCAGGATTTCTATAAAATTATTGGGATCTATATCCTCATCGGTAATTGTGCTATCCTTAGAACTGAAAACCATTTCAGCACCAAACCTCACCATTTGCAGCAGCTCATCTTTGTTAACAGCTGCCAAAACAAATTAAAAAATAATCAATAAACTATCAAAGTATTTTACTCACATTAATTTGAATATAAATTCATGATAAGGTAACCTCTACAAAAACAACTTACTCTTTTGTTCTGCTAATCGCCCTTGTTGGATCACTAAAGCATCAAGAGCAAGCTTTTTATAAGCCCTCTCAATCATCTTTTCATCTCTCTGCTCTTCTGTTTTTTAAATAATACAAACAAATACATGAATTATGTATGTATATACATAAATTATATAATTCAGAAACCAAAAGAGCATTTTTAGGAAGCACACTTCTAGAAATACACAGGCATAATAAACATTACAAAACAACAATGTGTCGTAGATAGGTTAGTACATTCCATTTTACTCAGAACATGAAAAATAGATGATAGGTTTACTGTCAAGACTTTAACTTAACTAAGTGCTTATTCCTATTTTTTTCCATTTAGGTATATAGTCCCTTCTTAGAAATATCCAAGATTTGGTATTTCAAAGACTTGGTTTTGTAGAATTTCTCAGATCACAATATCAAAATCAGTTTCTTGTCATCAATGTGAAGATAACACATTCCCAGTCACAATCAAATGGTGAAAGCATTTTACATGATGCTCTTGCCATGCATCATTTGTCATGTCTACTAATTCACTTCTCAACACCTTGAGCACATATTGCTGCACCAACATTATCTGTAGTTGTGGCTAAAGAATTTCTTTAAATCAAATTGGGATATTTGCCTTCTTATTGTTCATCTTAGTATAATTCTAAATTCTAAAATTATAGAGAAAAATTAGAAACTTAACAAAAAAAATTTAATTCTAATTTTTATAGATAGGGATCTAAAAGTTGACCCAAATAAATGAATTTCAATAAAACAAATATACAAAAACCTGCCCATTATTAAAATTAAAAAAAAAAAACACACAGTTGTTTTAAAAAAAGTTAATGACCAAAAATAGTATGTTTTTTTCATTTATTTCATTGATCGCAAGTTTCAAACACTATAATGAAATATACAAGTTGAACAAAACAAATACACTTAAAAAAAATCAAAATCACACTCATAATCATCATTTTCATTGATCTTGTTAAAATTCCACAAAATATAAAAATTTCAATGAAACCTGAAAATTGAACCAAAATAATAATTTATGAAAATCCACACATAATCATCTCAGATGATTATAAAAAACTGTTAAAAAAATAGTCACAGCAGGGCATCCATAGGATAGGCAGATTTATTATGAGTGTGATGAAGAAATTTTAAAAATATACTACTTAAGGTCTTTTGATTTTTCTTCTTAAATTTTACTTGCAAGTATATTTGAACATTCCTACAGATTTTGATTTCAAACATATACTTTCTTCTTAAATTTTACTTGCAGGTATACTCAAACACTTCTGCAGATTTTGATTTCAAACTTGAAAGGTATATGTGGATAAAATTGAGTACTGTGTTCACTGAGAAATGTTTGTCAACTTAACATGGTTACAACCTGATGCTGAGCATGGAAACAAGAAAACACATCTAAAATTTCACATGAAACAAACCTAGGATTTATTTAATCAAATTTAGGACAATTTTAGACTTGTTCACATGTATCCAACCCAATTATCAAAAATTCAATCCACCAAAACCACCACCTCCTCTCTCTCTCTCTCTCTCTCTCTCTCTCACTACCACCATCCTCTGTTTTTTAAACAATACAAACAAATACATGAATTATGTATGTATATACATAAATTATATCTATATATATCATCCAGCTTTCCAAAAGAGCACTAAATTATATCGTCTCTCGTAACTTTTTACACAAAAAAATCAAAAAATTAACTTTTACTCATCTTCCCAAAACAATCCAAAAATACCCACTTAAATGTGTTTTATGTAGTGCTGGAAAGAACTAAACTATTCATTTATCAAAAGTAACACAACAATATTCATGATTTTTAGAATTATTCAATAATTTTTCAAGAAGGATATGGGTAAAATTGTATGAAGGTAGAAACAGAGACTAATAAATTTTTATAGTTAAAATCATATATAGAGATATAACTATGTAATATGTATAACAGTTGTATCAAACATGTTAGCTAAGAATTTGCATCATACTCTGCAGTTTGTAGTGCTAGGAGAAGCAAGAAGAAGACCAAGATGTAGTAGTGGTGGTGTTTGGGTTGTGGAGGCGAAGAAAGTTTCTCTTCGTGGTGGAGTAGAAGAGGCCATATCAGAAAAGCCATTAAGAAGTCAAAAATACTAATTTTCTTTTCATGACATTCTAAATTCATGTTGACACAACTTATGGTTTCAGTATATTGCATTAGGTTTTATTGTGTTTTAATGGAAACAATAGAATTTTGGTATATATCAGATTTATATAATTCACAAACCAAAAGAGCATTTTTAGGAAGCACACTTCTAGAAATACACAGGCATAATAAACATTACAAAACAACAATGTGTCGTAGATAGGTTAGTACATTCCATTTTACTCAGAACATGAAAAATAGATGATAGGTTTACTGTCAAGACTTTAACTTAACTAAGTGCTTATTCCTATTTTTTTCCATTTAGGTATATAGTCCCTTCTTACAAAAATCCAAGATTTGGTATTTCAAAGACTTGGTTTTGTAGAATTTCTCAGATCACAACATCAAAATCAGTTTCTTGTCATCAATGTGAAGATAACACATTTCCAGTCACAATCAAATGGTGAAAGCATTTTACATGATGCTCTTGCCATGCATCATTTGTCATGTCTACTAATTCATTTCTCAACACCTTGAGCACATATTGCTGCACCAACATTATCTGCAGTTGTGGCTAAAGAAATTGGGATATTTGCCTTCTTATTGTTCATCTTAGTATAATTCTAAATTCTAAAATTATAGAGAAAAATTAGAAACTTAACAAAAAAAATTTAATTCTAATTTTTATAGATAGGGATCTAAAAGTTGACCCAAATAAATGAATTTCAATAAAACAAATATACAAAAACCTGCCCATTATTAAAATTAAAAAAAAAAAACACACAGTTGTTTTAAAAAAAGTTAATGACCAAAAATAGTATGTTTTTTTTATTTATTTCATTGAATTTCGCAAGTTTCAAACACTATAATGAAATATACAAATTGAACAAAACAAATATACTTAAAAAAAAAAAATCAAAATCACACTCATAATCATCATTTTCATTGATCTTGTTAAAATTCCACAAAATATAAAAATTTCAATGAAACCTGAAAATTGAACCAAAATAATAATTTCTGAAAATCCACACATAATCATCTCAGATGATTATAAAAAACTGTTAAAAAAACATTTGTCAAACATAACCCAAGTTGGAGGTATCATTCACAAAACCTCCAATAAGGCAACAATGATGCAAATAGTAGAGTTAACACAAGTTAATGTAGAAACAGATTTATATAATTCACAAACCAAAAGAGCATTTTTAGGAAGCACACTCCCAGAAATACATAGGCATAATAAACATTACAAAACAACAATGTGTCGTAGATAGGTTAATACATTCCATTTTACTCAGAACATGAAAAATAGATGATAGGTTTACTGTCAAGACTTTAACTTAACTAAGTGCTTATTCCTATTTTTTTCCATTTAGGTATATAGTCCCTTCTTACAAAAATCCAAGATTTCGCCCCCCGAAACGCCCTTTTTCGACTAAGTTTAGGGCATATTCGGCTCTAACTCCCAACCTACGGGTCCAAATTACGTTCCGTCATATCTCATAAGTCCTATTTGTCATGGCAAAGCGATCTGTGTGAGCCACACGGTGGTTCGGAGGCTGTTTTGAATTTTTGCCCCCGAAACGCCATTTTTCGACTAAGTTTTGGGTGTATTCAGCTTTAACTCCCAACCTACGGGTCTGAATTATGTTCTGTCAGTTCTCACAAGTCCTATTTGTCATGGAGAAGCTATCCGTGTGAGCCACACAGTCGTTCGGGGTCTGTTTTGAATTTTCGCCCCCGAAACGCCCTTTCTCGATTAAGTTTAGGGCGTATTCGGCTCTAACTCCCAACCTATGGGCCCAGATTACATTCTATCAGTTGTCACAAGTCCTATATGTCATGGGGGGAACTGTCCGTATCATCCCCACAGTGGTTCGGGGGTTGCTTTCAGGTTCTAGATCAACTATTTTATTATGTAATTCCTTTTCAATCAATAAATCAATGACAAACCTGTTCTAGCCAAACCTGTTCAAGCACAAACGCAAAGATTGACATCGCTGCAAAGATTGACACAGTATGGTTGTGATGGTGGTTCTGTGACTCTGTACACAAACGCAATAGAGATTAGCCTCAATAGACTAACCCTAGAATTGCATACAAAGCATAAAGGCAAAGATCACCACGAACGAGTCAGAAATAGAGTCGGTTTGAGGATGTTAATATGCACATAGGGACTCAAACTTACAGATCTGAACGAAAGCAATCAATCGATCAAATCCAGAGAAGAGTGTTCGATCGCGATCAATAAATTAAAAATCAATCAATCGAGATTTGCCTAAAAATCGATCAATAGAATAAAAATCGATCGCGATCAATAGACATAAATTAGTATATATATATCAAACAGATTTGAGATCGTAGATCTAAGTTTGTATATAAACAAAATCAAAAAATCAGAGGACTCACAAAATTAATCTTCAAATCGGACTGATTGAGAGCTTTGAGCCAAGATGGAGAGAACCAGATCGTGAATCGGAGCCTACGAAGCTCGATCTAGTGACCTTTCACCATAAGAAAGAGGAGTGATGAAGAGATAGAAAACCTAGATCTATCAATTGCTGCGTGAAATAGAATAGAAGAATGAAAAATGCGTGGGTCTTAAAAGGGAAAATATGTTCGTACACCAAAGCACGCGTGTTTTTTAAAATGAGTTATTTACAAAAATATTTTGAAAACCTTTAAAACGACGTTTTTTAAAAAAACGCCTTAACAAAAGCGTGGTTATAAGCTAATTTTCTTGTAGTGCATACACTAAGTGTTCAAAGTCTCTCACTGCCATCCCTTTCCTCTCTAAGCCTGCCTTGGTCTTCTCCTCTTCCACCGCCAATGATCTCAGGCCATTGAAATGCCCACCATCTTCTCAAAGGTCAACGACCAATCACCTCTAATCTCTAAAACCCACAACAATAAAAAAAAATAAAAATAAAGTGCAAAATATGTTTTTTTTAATCATGTTAGAAAAATAATTCAAGCACTTTTAATTTTGAGCAAGTACCAAACCGACGTATCCATTGTCCTCTAAACAAATTAAGCTCAATGCCCATCAAATTGCCAATACTAACAATTAGACTTTCCACTTTGCAACATTGCATGAAATTGATTTCCCAATATAAATGCCTACGCTATAGCAAAATAAAACTATATCTAGGGTAAATTACACTGACACCCCCTAAGGTTTAATCCCATTATATTAGTACCCTGAGATTTTAGAAATTGCATTCATTTTCCTGAGGTTTATTAGAGTCACGTTACAATTTCCCAGCCTTTGTTAGTCAATCATGAAGTCAACTAACAGAAAATGCTGATGTAAGCACTTAAATTGTTGGAAATTCCTATTTTGCCCTTGTTTGCTATCCCTCCCCCTTTCCTCTCTAATTTCTCTAATAAAAAAACAAAATAGACCAAACCCAAACCAGACCCACCCTGACGCTACCACTATCACCCACTTCTGCACCTCTGCTCTATCCTTACTTCCACCATCACCCACTTTCCCTTGAGATCATTATAGACCTTACAACAAAAACTCAATTCTTTAATAAAAATAAATAGTAAATAAATAAAACCCCACTACATGAGTGAAAGAATGAACCTAAGTAGTGCCACAAAAATTCATTAGGTCAATATATACATCATAAATTCTAATTTTAGGATGTGTATCATATGTCGCAGTTATGATGTTTGTAATTTTTAATTTTAGTTATGATTTATTGTGGTATTGATTATGACTTGATTATAACATATTATGATTATTATTTTGATAATTATGCGAAAGATTTATGTAGGGTTTAATTATGACTCATTTTTTAAAAGTTATGATTGAAAAGAATTTAATTATAAAATTTGTAGTAATCAACTCCATAAATGTCAGACTTAAATATGATATACAGCCATTTTGAGGTGTATATAGTAGCATGACCCATGCATGCTAAAGAAATTCTATATATATATATATATACTTACATATATGAAACCAGGTTCTTTCTTTTCGAACTACTACAGCGCACTGTTGGCCATGGATCAAATTACAAATTGCCTTGATGTCAAGTCAAACCCATCCTAGCAGTAGCTTTTTTCCAAAACCCACATTGAACTTTCGTCAAATAATTTGTCTGCATGGTTGTTGGAGGGTGGAAGTGGCTGTTGGGGTGCTAAGGGGACTGTTGGGTGGGTGAAAAATGTTTTGATGTGGTAGAATGTGTTATAAAAAAATAAATTTAATTTTAAAGTATGATTTTAATTATTTATTTTGATAATATTGGCGCTATCGTTTTGTAAAATTATTACTTGAATACTTATATGTATATATATTAATTTTAGTTAAATTATTTGTGTGTTTTGATAATTTTAGTTCTAATTATCATATAATAATTTTATATGATATATATTAAATTACAAAATAATAAAATAAATACTCATTTTAATATTAAAAATAATATTTAAATTAGAAAAAGAATTAGTAACATAAAATTAAAAGTAATTCTAACTATTTAATTTTCTTTTATATTCATTTGGAAAATAAAAATATGTAGAAATAGAAATTATATAAAATTTATTAAAAAAATTAAATATAAATATGTTGTAGTTGGATTATCATATAATGATTTTATGTGATATATATATATATATATTAAATTGTAAGATTGTAAAATAAATACTCTTGATTATATTAAAATATCAACTATATAAATGAAATTAAACAACGACTAATTAAGAAAGAATTACATAACAATATCTAAACTCAAAAAGAAAAAATAATGAAAACATTCAATCGATAGATACATCTCAGTATGTGAAGTGATTAATCTTCTGTAATATAATGTCGAAGTATAAAATTACTTTCTGTTTGATAATTGAAAAAGTAACTCAAGCAGTAAATTTAAACTCTAAAGGTTCCTTGAGATTATCATTGTTGTGCAGGTTTTTCATCATGTGAGTTGTGATTATATAAAATAATGAAGTATAATTTCATATATAGAATCATTATAAAATTTAAACAACAAATCCATAATATGGAATAAGTATTGCGAATAGAATAATGCATGGAAAAAAAAGAAGAAAAAAAAAGAGAGGCAATTTTGCATTAAAAAAAATCTGTAATACCCTTGAAACAATTAAGAAGAAAAACATGAAATTCAAAATTGGTATTGTGTTTGTGGATTATCTCAATTTACCATGAAAATTATATTGAAAAGAAATATTTGTCAAATAGAATTCATATAAAATAGGTAAAGTTAGTTTAATTTAAATTAGGTTTGGGTTTGTGTAGAATTCTATATATAATTAAGAAAATACATACTGGCGTGACTCTCTTAGAAAAAAAAAGTAAATTCTTATAATGTGCCACCTAAATATGGGAAAAATACTACTTTTAATAATATATATATGGTGAATTACACTAACAGTCTCTATAATTTGGGGTTCGTGTAAAAGATTTATCAATTTTATATAATTTTATTTTTGATGAGTATATATAATTTTTAAAAATTCAAAAATATTTTTTTTGACATCTATTTTTGTTAAATTAGTTTATATTTTATCAAATTGACCACTTTGCCCTTGAAAGTGAGCAATAATATCTTACGAGCCCCAAACTATAAAAACCATTAGTGTAATATGCCCATATATATATATATGATGATATGTTCTAGATGCATCTTATAATATGACTAGCGTATAACCGTGCCTAAAGGCACGGTGTAAATAATGTTAGGATTAGAATATAATTGTAATCCCAATACTATTTAATAAATTATCAATTATCAATTTAATATAATTGTAATCCTAACCCTTCTTGTCTTAAAAATAAATTATCAATTATAGAGATGAAATTATGCCTTAAACCTGAAAATCCCTGTTTCTATACCAAGAAAATGGCATAGACAAACAACCATTGTTGAGCTTTGGTGACCCACCATGAAACAAACTCAAAAACATCTATCTAAGTTCACAGAATTGAGCGCACTGGACCCATAATGAATTGGCATTTGCCTTCCTTTCCCATAATCAGCCTTGTTCCCAAAACATTGGTTGGCAAATTCTTGCAAGGTGAAACCACGCCACAATAGAACACCATGTTCCCTATACTGCATTGCATTATACATGTCCGTTTACATCATTCTTTATCGTGGACTTCCTAATATATCCAACCAATTATTGAAAACCTATCCATCACATGGAGGGGTCTAAAAGAAAATATGAAAAGCTGAAATCAAAATAATTGCATGGTCTTCAAAGCTGATACATTTCTGGGGTTTGGGTTGGAGTTTTATCTTCTAAGGATATGAAGTTGGCTTCAAATCATTCTATTTATGAGAGTTGAAGATGAATGACTGAAGCATTGAAATTAAGATCAAGCCGCATAAGCTGACAAAGAACATAAATACATATGGTTAGAGATTTTGAAAACATAGGTAGTGGAGCAATGGAACTACGGTAGCAAGTCAGCAACCTGAAGGTGGTAAAATGAGGAAAGGAATTTGTGAGCAATATATACAATAGTGTTGTTGTTCATGGTATGCATGACTCTATATCATATGGCTCCTAACAGATTGAAATCTGTTGCTAATATTGCATAGTATATTGTGACACTAATTAATTGGTTGAGAAGAAAGAAATAAGTACATATGAAAATTGATCTCTAATTCATCTAGTTTCTTACCTGAGGCAAGATAATATCGTCTTGGGTGAGTGCAACAGCTAATGCAATGTTGATAGCATCTTCTCCATATGAGGTGAGATAGAAGGACATTCTTCCTTGCCTTTGTGCTTCGTAGAAGATGTTGTCCATAGTTTGAAGGGTAACCATACTACTATACATCTTCAATGCATCATCCTTGCTCACCTAATGAATGTGATAGCTGAAAAATTAACAAAAGACAATGTGCTTGCATGCAATCTAAATAATCAAATTAACTACAGTTGAATTGTATAATTCTAAAATTTTCAGCTCTTAAAGTTGTGTTTGGATCTTGAATTTGTAGAGGGATTTATGGAGGGAAAGGGCAGGGATTTGTGGGGGTAAAAAAAGAGAGCTTAAATCACTTTTTCCCTTCCCTTTCCTTTTCCCACCAATATTGGTAGTTGGATGATTCCCATTATCCAAAAGCAAGTTAAAAAATTATTGGGATGATTCCCATTTCTCCACAAAATCAAACTAAAAACAAAAATATGAGAGAAGATACCATCAACTGGATTCGTTGTGTGTAAATTCCATTGAAACATTTTATCAAACACTTAATAAGTAAGGAATATAGAATGGTTATCGAACATTTTGGTAACAACCATTCAATAGAGTAACTCAAAAACCACTCTCCCTTATTATATGTGTGTATAAAAGTGCACCCAAAATTAAAGTGAACCCAAAATTAACAAAACCCATAAAAGTGCACCCAAAATTAAAGAAAAACAATACTCACAGAAAAAAAAAACAAAGAAAAAAATCAGTAAAAGATAACACAAAGAAAAACCTGAACAACAATAGTATACTATTGTTGTCATTTGGTTAATGTTGAAGAACCCTAACTAAACCTTTTCTTCTTACCAAGCTCAACTGAAGTATGAGAATCCAAAGTAATAAAACTCTAACCAATATCCATGGCATGAATCAAAACAAATACTTGCATCTTGCAGCTGGCATTTGATTAATATATATATATATACACACATATAAGAAAATAAATAAATAAATAAATCTCCAAGAATTTTAATTTTTGTGCTTTTTGGAAAAATTGCAATAAAATGGAAAAAATCGAAACAATTGCAAGATTAAATAAATGCTATTTGAAGATTAATAATTGAAGATTAATAAAAATAATTGAAATGTAAATGCAATTTGAAGATTAATTTTAAAAACATAGTAAAATTACATTTTTACCGGCCACCCCTCACCCATCCTTCCTAGTTGCTGGCCACTCCTCCACCCTTCCCGACCCCCTCCCTCAACCCTTGTTTCCCAGACACCCCCCAACCCTTCGCCCCTCCCCATCCTAGTAGCTGGGAAGGGGAAGGGGGGAGGAAGAAAGAGAACAGGGCAAAAGTTAGGGGAAAATTGTAAAATTTTTAAGATTAATTTTTAAGTTTCCACCTTTATTGCAATTATTTTTTATACTCAATATTTTTGCAATTATTCTACCTCATCCCATGTTTTTGTAGTTTAGCCTTTCTATTTTTTAGGGTTGGGGATAATTGTTTTGCAGCTCTGTTTCACTACACTTAATGCCAAGTAAAAACTGCACTTGAGTCAGCCAGATGCTGGCGGCTCTTCAAATTCACTACAGCAATCAAAAGGAAACAGTAGATACATACAAAAGCAGCTGTTTCATCTTAAAATTTTGGAGGAGAAGTGCAAAAAAGTGAAAGAGGAGAAAGTGGGGGGAGGAGGGATGAACATACAAATTGCAATACACACAAAGAAAACATTACCCATAAAAGTGCAACCAACTGCACTTGATCTCTTGGCTTCAAACAAAAAAAAAATCTGTAATCAATATATATACACACAAAGAAAACCTTACAAAAAATCGGTTTCATGAGGAATGAACAAAAAGATTTGCTGGCACTTTGAGCAAATAGCTAATCACAAATACAGAGCACTTTGAGCCCTCCAAGTTCAACAAAAGAAAATGAGTTCACTAACTGAGAGTCTAAGCCTTCTACTTTGCTGGCAACAAATATAGGTTTTTTGAATTCATATGTATTTATGAAGTTTATCTTTCTATCATTATTTTCTCTCCTACCAAACAGAGAATCGCATAGCAAGAGCAGATATCTAGTAACCAAAAATCTTTCTTGATAAAATAAAAACAAACCAGAGAATAATAGAAAATACCCATAATCTAAATGATAGTTAAAACGCCAAAAATCATCAAATTTGGGCCAAAATGATATATATATATATATATATTTTAAAAAAATCTATATAAGAACAGTATATACATCAATCAATACACATGTAAAACTGAATCAAACTAACCTTCAATTTACGAATTTCTTCTACAGGTATGCAAAAAGAGACGAATAAAAAAACAAAGGAATTAGAGAAAAATTAACCTTGAATTGAACTTTTGGAATCGATTTAGTCAAACTTTGAACTGAGCTTCTGGAATCGATGCGAATCAAAGCCCTAGAAGGAAGAGAACTAACCTTAAATAAACACATTTTTAGGGTCGCTTTCATGTATCGATGTATCATTTCATATGAGAAGCAATAGATCAAAAGAATAGACAGGTAAAATACTAACCATCTGGTTTGTTGATTCCCATTCCAAATGCTACCTGTAGAAGAAGTACATGTTTCAAAATGATAGGCAGGATTTTTATAAAATTATTGGCAGGAAAATGTCATCTGTACATACCGTACCAACAATGACTTGCAACTTGCTATTGCTCCACCTGTTCCATAAAACATGTATAAGAGTCTCCAAAAAGCCAAATATGCCTTGATTAACATAATGACAAATAACTCAGCCTTCTACAATCATAACGGTTGCCAACTATGAATTATCAAAAAATAGCAAACCAGCTTTGTAAATTCAAACAACTTTATGAAATGATTGATCACTATCAGTGGGAAAAGAACGGAGTGGTACAGCACCTAGCCTGGAATGTGGTTAAAATTTAGGTTTACATAGCCTACACGAAAAGTGATAAATAAGTCATAAATATTAAAAGCCATTAAGAAGTCAAAAATACTAATTTTCTTTTCATGACATTCTAAATTCATGTTGACACAACTTATGGTTTCAGTATATTGCATTGGGTTTTATTGTATTTTAATGGAAACAATAGAATTTTGGTATATATCAGATTTATATAATTCACAAACCAAAAGAGCATTTTTAGGAAGCACACTTCTAGAAATACACAGGCATAATAAACATTACAAAACAACAATGTGTCCTAGATAGGTTAGTACATTCCATTTTACTCAGAACATGAAAAATAGATGATAGGTTTACTGTCAAGACTTTAACTTAACTAAGTGCTTATTCCTATTTTTTTCCATTTAGGTATATAGTCCCTTCTTAGAAAAATCCAAGATTTGGTATTTCAAAGACTTGGTTTTGTAGAATTTCTCATATCACAATATCAAAATCAGTTTCTTGTCATCAATGTGAAGATAACACATTTCCAGTCACAATCAAATGGTGAAAGCATTTTACATGATGCTCTTGCCATGCATCATTTGTCATGTCTACTAATTCACTTCTCAACACCTTGAGCACATATTGCTGCACCAACATTATCTGTAGTTGTGGCTAAAGAAATTGGGATATTTGCCTTCTTATTGTTCATCTTAGTATAATTCTAAATTCTAAAATTATAGAGAAAAATTAGAAACTTAACAAAAAAAATTTAATTCTAATTTTTATAGATAGGGATCTAAAAGTTGACTCAAATAAATGAATTTCAATAAAACAAATATACAAAAACCTGCCCATTATTAAAATTAAAAAAAAAAAACACACAGTTGTTTTAAAAAAAGTTAATGACCAAAAATAGTATGTTTTTTTTATTTATTTCATTGAATTTCGCAAGTTTCAAACACTATAATGAAATATACAAATTGAACAAAACAAATATACTTAAAAAATCAAAATCACACTCATAATCATCATTTTCATTGATCTTTGTAAATTCCACAAAATATAAAAATTTCAATAAACCTAAAATTAAACCAAAATAATAATTTATAAATCCACACATAATCATCTCAGATGATTATAAAAAACTGTTAAAAAAATAGTTCACATTCAGGCATGCCATAGGATAGGCAGATTTATTATGAGTGTGATGAAGAAATTTTAAAAATATACTACTTAAGGTCTTTTGATTTTTCTTCTTAAATTTTACTTGCAAGTATATTTGAACACTCCTGCAGATTTTGATTTCAAACTTGAAAGGTATATGTGGATAAAATTGAGTACTGTGTTCACTGAGAAATGTTTGTCAACTTAACATGGTTACAACCTGATGCTGAGCATGGAAAGAAGAAAACACATCTAAAATTTCACATGAAACAAACCTAGGATTTATTTAATCAAATTTAGGATAATTTTAGACTTGTTCACATGTATCCAACCCAATTATCAAAAATTCAATCCACCAAAACCGCCACCTCCTCTCTCTCTCTCTCTCTCTCTCTCTCACTACCACCATCCTCTGTTTTTTAAACAATACAAACAAATACATGAATTATGTATGTATATACATAAATTATATCTATATATATCATCTAGCTTTCCAAAAGAGCACTAAATTATATCGTCTCTCGTAACTTTTTACACAAAAAAATCAAAAAATTAACTTTTACTCATCTTCCCAAAACAATCCCAAAAATACCCACTTAAATGTGTTTTATGTAGTGCTGGAAAGAACTAAACTATTCATTTATCAAAAGTAACACAACAATATTCATGATTTTTAGAATTATTCAATAATTTTTCAAGAAGGATATGGGTAAAATTGTATGAAGGTAGAAACAGAGACTAATAAATTTTTATAGTTAAAATCATATATAGAGATATAACTATATAATATGTATAACAGTTGTATCAAACATGTTAGCTAAGAATTTGCATCATACTCTGCAGTTTGTAGTGCTAGGAGAAGCAAAAAGAAGACCAAGATGTAGTAGTGGTGGTGTTTGGGTTGTGGAGGCGAAGAAAGTTTCTCTTCGTGGTGGAGTAGAAGAGGCCATATCGGAGCCTGAACTAGACTATCTTTTGGATCTTTCTGGCAGATCGGAACCTGGACCAGACGACCCTCTTGACCCGGAAGAAAGAACTCTTGATCCTCTCTACAACACTCTTCTTCCTGCAGAACTGGTAGCTCCTCAAGAACAATTGCCTCTTCTCCATCTCCATAGAATAGATGAGGAGCAGAGAGACGAAAGGACTCCCGTATTTCAATATTGTAGAGGTGACCCTGTATTAAAGATTAGAGTAAAGATTAATAGTATTTTAACTAAAAGACTAAAGATTAGAGTAAAGATTATCCACAAATTAAAGATTAGAGTAAAGCTTATTCAAAGATTACCCAAAGATAGAAATCTATATAATAAAACATGTATAAATACAAAGAAAAAGCCCAGGTTTGATCACCTGAACCGTATGTATACCGGATTATTTCTTTGTCGAACACCATTGTTCCCTTTTGCAGCCCCCATGTTCCTCTTTTGCAACGACTCCGTCGTCAATGGGGTTTGGGGCTGCCATTGCTGATGAAGATTGGGAAAGAGAGGGAGGAAGAGAGAAGATGAAGAGAGAAGATGATGAGAGGGAATGGGCTCCGACAGGGAAGGTTGGGCTCTGATGGAGAAAAGAGAGAGAGAGAGAGAGAGGCTGCGTGTTTTCAAAATTTGAAATCAAAAAGAGATAAATAGGTGAGACAAATAGGAGTGAGAGGCTGTCTGTTGAAAATGAGAGACAAATGGGGCTCAGATATTTTGAGCCCTTAGATTAAATCAATCTAATAGCCCAGATTTTGACACAGGTATAAGAGTCAAATCAGGATTCAAAAACCGAGCTTCCTTATTATATAGATTCCAAACCAAATCAAGTCTTAAATCTCATCAAATGGGTCGGCTGCATGAATCCTTTTTCTTTACTTGACTCTATTCAAGGCCATTTCGTTAGTCAAATTAAGGAGATTCATATATTTATTTACTACATTAGTCCACGTCAATCTAGGTCTACTATTTTCCCTAACACTATCATCTACTGTTACTGTATCGCATCTCTTTACTATTGCCTCTGTTGGTCTTCGTTGTATATGACCAAACCATCTCAATCTATTCTCTCTCAACTTCTATCGGTACTACTCCTACTCATTCTCGAACATACTCATTCTTAATTTTGTCTATTCTAATCTTGTCACACATCTACTGTATCTTATAATATAATTTTGTAATATTTTTTTATCAGATTATGGGGGTTGGATTGTGTTGTACAATTAAGAAGATGGGATCATAGGAGGCTAAAAATTTGTAATTCAACCAAAGCCGGCTTAGTTAGTGTGGGGAGACACATTTTAATTGACTAATGAGTCAAAAAAAAAAAAAATAGCAAGGTTGAAGGGTTAGGGGAGGAATGGACAGGGAGAGGAGGTGGTGAAATTAAAAACGCAAGTGGCGGCAACATAAAAAAAAATTCATCAATTAAATGATAGGTCCATAATTTACTCCGGTTATTGCCCAAGTGAGGTGAGGTTTGCCGTAGTAAAAGAACCTTAAGCATTAAATCTTTTTGACTTAGATTTCTCACAAGATACAACCCAAGGGACTTTTAGTAAATATTTTTTTAGGATTTTTATTGATAAATCCATCTTAGAGTTGTTATAACCCATTAAGTCCACAAAGGAATATTATAACCTGATTAGTCCCATATACTTTTCTTTTTATTCCATAAAGTCCATTTTCTAACTTTATATTTTTACCTGGACTATTATGCCCTTATATATATATATATACTGTGTTAATACATAACACGTTCCCTGTGATTTCGTGGATTCAGTTTTGGCAGTTTCTATCATCCTAATTCAAATGGACATGTTTCTATCTTGCATGCTCGTTCTGAGGCTTTGATGTGCTAGGGTTTCATTGTTGCTGTTGTAGTCTGGTTCGGTGATTTTCAAGTGAAGACGACGAATTTGAAGGTGTTCGGTTCTCAGATTTTCTAGAGTATAACTACTTTAAAGCAGTTGTTTTCGAGTTTCTGGACGATTATAGGATTGCATGATTAAGGTTAGTATCATTTTGGTTATGAATACATGTTCACTTTATGTTTTGAATTGTATGATGGATCAGATGCTCTGTTTTTTTAATTGATATGGATCAGATGCTTTGTTTTTTCAATTATATGCATCATAAGTGATATAATTCAGAGTATATGGATCAATGTGAATGTTTACATCGTGATCCTGTGGAGGGGAGGTCATCAGATTAGTGATGAATGTGGATCTTCTATAATTCAGAGTATGTGGAACAATGTGAATGTTTACATCGTGTTAGTATTATATGAAGAATGTGGATGTTTGCATTTTACTTTGATGTTTGCTTAATGAGGCTCTGTGTGAGTGATATAATTCAGAGTATATGGATCAATGTGAATGTTTATATCGTGGTCCTGTGGATGGAAGGTCATCAGATTAGTGATGAATGTGGATTGTCTATAATTCAGAGTAGGTGGAACAATGTGAATGTTTACATCGTGTTAGTATTATGTGAAGAATGTGGATGTTTGCATTTTACTTTAATGTTTGCTTAATGAGGCTCTGTGTGGGTGATATAATTCAGAGTATATGTGTCAATGTAACTGTTTACATCGTGTTAATATTAATGAAAGAATGTGAATGTTCTCACTTTACTTTGATGTTTGCTTAATGAGGCTCTGTGTGGGTGATATAATTCAGAGGATATGCATCAATGTGAACATTCACATCTTGTTAATGTGAATTATGGTTTTAACACTTGAACTGTACACGTAGTCATCTAATTTTTGCACAATGTGAACTTTCATATCGGTTTGGATTATTGTTGATTGTTGTATTGTTGTGTTTACAGGAGATAGATACCTTTATGATGTTGGTGTGTACATATGGTTGCAGTACAACTGTAATAAATTTTGCCTGCGCATTGTGTTATTTGCGTTTGGTGGACTGTTTGTGTGGAAAATGGGGGGAGTTGTCTGTTGGTTCTATTTCATTGTTCTGTCGGTTACCTGGGATTAACAGGTGTGATTTGGACAATGAGGAAGAATTTCAGAACATGTTACTGCTTGCTAAATCAATGGAGGTACAACATGTAGAAGTTGTGGTTGAGTTGAAAAGTGATATTGGTCAGTCAAGTAGCTCGGGATCGCTGCGTGTGGGGGTTGAGGAAGATATTAATGCACTACGGAGATTTTGCCACCATAAGGAGAAGGTGTTGTTGTCAGCCCCTTGGGCAAATAGTATTACGCATGTGGGACAACGGTTTGTTGGAGGTGCACAAGAATTTCGTGACGTTTTATGTAAGTATGCCATCCAATGTGGGTTTCAGTGTACGTATGTCAAGAACGAGACAACAAGAGTTATTGCTGCGTGTGTGATGCGTGAGGAGAGAGGCTGCTTGTGGGCTATACATTGTAGAGCACAATGAGCAAATGGTTTTTTCTACATCAAGAGATTTAGTGATATGAATAATTGTGGTCCAAATGTCCGAACATCGAAGAATCTGCGAGTTAGTTCGGATTTGGTGTCGAGTACCATATCTGAAATTGTGAGGGACAAGCCGTTGACTCGGCCGTGTGAGGTGGTGACTATTTTGAAGAGGGATTATGGGCTAGATGTGAGTTACCATGTCGTATGGTTGGCTGTGAAGAAAGCAAAGGCTGGTATTCATGGAGATCACTCATTATCTTTGACCAACTGCGGTGGTATTCGGATGCTGTGATGCGGTACAATCCGGGGAGTTATGTCAATATTGACTATGATGCGAGTAGTCAACAGTTTTGTCGTTTCTTTGTCTCATTCGCTACGTTTATTTCTGGGTTCAATTCTTGTCGGCCTTTATTATTCCTGGATAGAACATTCCTCAAATGAAAGTACAAAGGTCAGCTACTTGCGGCAACGGCGAAAGACGGAAACAATGGTTAGTATTTTTTTTAGCTGTCTATTCATGTCAATATTCACTTTGAGCAGCATAGTCTGGAAAAATGAGTGATTGAGAAATTATAAGTAATGTGAACATTGACATTAGTATGCACTAATGTGAATGTTAATATCTGTGTCTGCTAATGACAATAATGTGAACATTTACATTATTATACACTGATGTGAATATTCACATCAGTGTATACTAATGTCAGTTGATCCATTAATGAACAGTACTTTGAATGTTCACATTATCAATGACTCAACAATCAGCAATGAATTATTAACGGTTGTTAATGTGAATATTCACATCGTTGATGTTTACGAACCCGAATCCAAAAATAACAATAGTAATAGGGCAATGTAGACATAAACATTCACATGACCTGTTTCGTTTATACTGTTTTCTATTCACTTTGGAATATTGTGAATAGTTGTGTATTGGTGTTGTGTTGTAGGTCTGTTTCCTGTTGCATTTGCGATTGTTGATTCAGAGACCACGGCCAATTGGTCGTGGTTCTTGCATGAACTTGGGAAGGTTGTTGATGGTAAGCGCCATATTACTTTTATTTCGGATCGTAATCTTGGTCTGTTAGAAGCTATGCCAAAGGTGTTCCCACCGGCTCATCACGGTTATTGCTTACAACACTTGAAGAGCAATTTAAGAGACCAGATGAAAGGAATTGATAATGGATTCAGGGATCACCTACTAAGTAGTTTGGGTGACTGTACTTACGAGCCAACTGTGGTAGGGTTCCATGAAAAGCTTGCAAAATTAAAAGAGGAGGGTAAACAACGAGCTCATACTTTTTTCAAGGACTTGGCACCTAAGCACTGGGCAAATTCATACTTCAGGTAATAATAGTTTCCTAAGGTGTTCCATTTGTCACGTTTAGAATGGTAGCGATGTGAATTTTCAGTTTAGAATGGTAACAATCTTCCAATTGTGTTTCATGTTCAATGTAAATGATGTGAATGTTCATATCTGCTAATGATGACTGATGTAAATGATGTGAATGTTCACATCTGTTAATTTGTCAAACAGTTATGCAATGTATTACAGATTTGAATGTTGTCATCTGTCATATTTTGTTGTTGTTAACATTCACATCTGTCTATCATTTAAGTTGACAACATAATAAGCATATAATGTTCACTGTGAATGATGTGA